CCATTTCCCTATATCCTGTTATTTTGTTTGCATTTTTATACATCTAGCCATCTAGCACTCACTGGCAACCTCGTTTTTGTTACTGTTGACTTAAAAACCTTCATTTTACCCAAGGTTTATTACCTCATATTTGCCTGCTGTGTTTAGTCTAAAAATGCCTTTAGTTTAGCATTGTTCTCTAAATATATTAATAATTATTGAGGTCAAAATTTTCAGTCTGTATAAAGGTATAAGGAATACATCTACAGATGAAATTATGTGAAGCAAGACTTTATGCTTTGGCTTTAATGAAGCCTGCTCCTCCCCATGCAAAGAATAGCCAGGAACTTGCTCCTTTCTTCCAATTTGTTCCTATGTTCCCATGGCAAGACCAGATACTGGGACACTAAATGCTTTCTTAGCCATACATAAATGGCTTTCATCCTTGCAAACTGACACTCTTACGGTAAAACTAAGTTCCAAACAACCGTGGCTTGTTCAGGCCAGGGCCAGCCCCTGTGTGCCACACAGATTCACTTTGGTTAAGTGAAAGAATAACCTCAGTCTTTTTTTTTTCTTTATGGTGAAAAAATACAAGTTTATATTCCAGAGTTAGAAGCCTAATATCCAAAAGGTAAAAATAGTTGCTAACATGAAGCAACTTCTTTGTGCACCAGTTCATGAGTTCTCCTTATTAGTAGGCTGTCACTATATGTGGGTTATTTCTCCAAAGACTCAGAGAAAAACTATAAAAGACAATTCTTTATTGAATAAAACTCTTCCATTCCCCTCAAAAGTGATTTCTCAATCCCTTAGCCTGCCTTTTCTTATCAATCTCTATGCAGAAAAGACTTGAACCTGAGTTTTTCTGACTGAAGTTTCACGTTGATTTTTTGGATATTTTATAGACTGTGTGCCAGGCATCTAGACATGGCTAGAGGAATGATAGTACACAGGCAAACACCAGTCATTTTCAATTTGCAAATGATCTCTTTTCCTATAAATATATGTATGTGAACTGTCACACCCCTAACTCTGTTTCATGAGGTGCTTGTGACATTTCTGGCTCCTATTGCCCCACAAAGCCTTTGCTGTCATCATACTCTTATTAGTGAAATACAGCCCATGAAGAGCAAATTCCCGCAGCAGGAAACAAGAGAAAATATGATTTAGGATTGTCTGAATCTGAGGCCAGCCACAAAGAGCTGCTGCACTGCTATTAAATGAAAGGCCAACAGCCAAGAACAAGGTCTTCAAGAGGCAGATTCACAACTAAATACTGCAAAGGGCTCAAATCAGGGAAAGTGACCAACTGTGAGAACTTGCAGAAAGAACACAAGTGGAAATGGATTTCCAAACTTACTTGATTGCATTTGTAGGAGGCTCTATTTTCTTTCAAGTGCCTGGTTTGGTACTACATGTAATCATGAGCTTTATTTGTTATTTTTGATTATTAATTGAGGAGCAAACGAAAATAGCACCTTGGAAAGCTAAACTTACCAGAAAGGAAAAGCCAGTATGTCATTGTTTCAAGCTGTTTTATCTTGTGTATGTAGTTTCTTTTCATCTATATTTCAAATATCATAAATAGACTGATAAATTCCCAATACTAAAGGTAAAAACACAATTATCCAATATGTATTCATCCATTGCCATCTATATTCTTTTGATGGTAATTGCGCCTGCCAAAAAGAGAACACAGTAAAACATAATACCTTTTGAAGTAATAAAATTTGAAGGCAATGATTTAAAAATGCTCCCTAGAAGTGGCTTCTCCTCTAGGATAGAGTCCAAGTGGGCTCTAGGTGGCTGACATACAAGCTACATCTGCATCTAATGAAAGCCATACTCATCTTGGAGTCAGACAACTGGATTATTCTTTTAGATTGTCCACTTTGGTATATGCTATGTGATGTCTTCAAGAGTCTTCTGCAGAGAGAATTATCATGCACACACCGTAGGTCAATTAAAAACAAACTCCGCAAACAAACCAGCATTTGGTGTTTTATCTAAGAACTCTAGTGTCCTTAGGGCTTATCTAACAACCCTAATAAGCCCCAGGTTTGGCTTAAATACCTGACTACACATTTTAGTAGAGCCCAGGAGGCAAGAGTTAAAATGAACATGCTAAGGACAAGTACTCCTGTTTGAATTAGCAAAGACTAGTTATTCAACACTTCGAATCTGAATGTGTCATAAATATTATTGATGAGTGCACAAAGGACTACTAGACCAGGAAAGCAGGATTTGGATGGGGAAAGCACTGTGTACATAGGTGGAATTACGTTGATGAATAAAGGACAGCACTTCAGAAAGAACACACCCAAATACAAACTTTACGTGCTACATGACTTTGCCATGGATCAGTTCTATTCACAGAATCATCAATCAATTGACACAGAATGTCAATTAGTTTGCGAAAATAAAATTCCAAACTAAAATTACCTAAACAATAGGAAATATATTTTCTTCGAGAACTAGAAAGCAGTAAGTAGTCAGTTCAAGAGTTAGCAAATTCCATGATTCAGTGATGCCATGAAAGGATCTCTTCCCTATATTTCCATTCTTCCCTCTTCAGGGTGTTGCGAATATTTCCCCTCACAGTCTTAAAATGGCTGCAGCAATTCCACTAACTCTTCCTGATTTTACTGATTTAGGAGACGTTTTGTTTGTTTGAGATGGAATTTCACTCTTGTCACCCAGGCTGGAGTGCAATGGCACGATCTCGGCTCACTGCAACCTCAGCCTCCCAGGTTCAATCAATTCTCCTGCTTCAGCCTCCTGAGTAGCTGAAATTACAGGCGCCCACCACCACATCCAACTAATTTTTTTTTGTATTTTTAGTAGAGACAGGGTTTTGCCATGTGGGCCAGGCTGGTCTCGAACTCCTGCCCTCGGGTAATCCACCTGCCTCAGCCTCCCAAAGTGCTGGGATTCCAGGCATGAGCCACCATGCCCAGCCTTATTTAGGAGATTTTTTGAATGAATGTTTCTCCATTTGGTGTAGGCTCTTAGGACAATTTCAAGAGACTCTAAATAACTGTTTGGTTTTTTATTTTCCCCCAGTTACGTGCTTTTGTGCTAGGAAAAGAGTCTACCATGCGCCTCACTATGTCATTCTGGAAGGCCTACCTGTCAAGATTTCTTGGGCCTAGGCTTCGAAATGGTGTGCCATCACTTCTGCTATATTTTTACAAGATCGGCCTAAATTTAAGAAGTAGGAAAATAGACTCCACCTCCAGATTGGAAGAATCACAAAGTCACACTGCCAAGGGCTGAGATGCAGGGAAACTTAGATAACTGAGAACATAGTCAATTCACTAGCAGGTGAATACGTTTCCGAGACTTCCTCAGTAGATTTCTCCTCTGGTCTACCAGGCAGGATTGGATTACATGCCTATGCTTCAGCAGCAAGAAGGACCCGGATAGGCGGAGTCTGACATTTTCAAGTTCCAAAGTGAGAAGCAGACTTTGCCAGTGTTGAGAACTAGGGAGAAAGTGGCTCTGTGGTAGGCAACCCATAGTGTCTGCCAAAATGTTCAATCTTTCACCTCAATTTGAGAGGGCAGTTCGACAGTATTTAGACAAGAACAAAATACTGCCTATTGTCAAATACAATTAAAATTAAAGTTATTTATTTACTTAATTTTTATTTATTAAAATTAAAATTAATTTTATTAAAATTATTTATTATTTATTTATAATTACTTTATTTATAATGTATTTATAATTAATTTATTAAAACTATAATTAAATATTTATTCAAAAATGGGAATAAATATTCCTAGCTCATGATATATATTTTGGAAGGTTTGTGAGAAGATGCTGGATATTAAGAAAAAATTTCAGAAGAAATACATTAAACTATCGGAGGCTAAGGAAAAGAGCCGTGAAGGCTGTAGTCCATTTGAATACGTTGTTAACAAATTGCTATCTATGTACTTGGAATAGCCTGACCATAATATCATAAAAGTAACCATTGACATCACTATATTATTTATAGGATTTTAAAAATACATTATATATGACAGACACTTTGTTAAGTGTATTACATATATACACATATTACATATATATAATATACATTATATATGCCACTTTGTTAAGTATATTACATGTGTTAAGTATGTTACATGACCTTATGAAGTAGTTTTATCTTTTATAAAAGAAATAAACCTCATTTAAGTTAGATTAATTGGGCTCAGCTAACTCAGTTAATAAATGACAAATAAATGACAAATATCCATATTCAAACCTACATCTATCAGGTTCCCTAGTGTGAAATCTTTCTACATATCATGCTTTCTCTTTTTTTTTTTTTTTTTTTTTTTTTGAGGCAGAGTCTCGCTCTGTCGCCCAGGCTGGAGTGCAGTGGCACGATCTCGGCTCACTGCAAGCTCCGCCTCATTCCATTCTCCTGACTCAGCCTCCTGAGTAGCTGGGAATACAGGCGACTGCCACCATGCCTGGCTAATTTTTTGTATTTTTAGCAGGGACGAAGTTTCACCGTAGCCAGGATGGTCTCAATCTCCTGACCTCGTGATCCTCCCCTCCTCAGTCTCCCAAAATACTGGGATTACAGACATGAGCCACTGCGCCTGGCCATCATGCTTTCTTTACTAAGCACATAGAAGAAAAAGAAGGAAAACTTGGGAAAGTAGGAAGTATGACATTGCTGAGATGATAACATGGCTGTGTGAATAACCATAAAACTTGTGACAAAAACATTGTTTGTAACACTTTCCACTCGATACATCAAGACCATCTTTTCATTGTATTAAATGGTAAAAAATTTTTGATAACTACTATCAAGTTTTTTATTCTACTATATGAATATATGACAATTTATTTTAAAATGTATTTCCAATTATAAGTTTAAGAAAGACTATTACATGTTCAAAATCTCCCTCTTCTATTGTCTAAGCACAGAACTGGAGTACAGGTCCTAGCTTCCCATACCGTGGAGTGGCCATGCATTATCTGGCCAGTGAAATGTGAGCAGAAGGATCTATGTAACTTACAGGCTCAGCATGAAACATCATCCATATGACCTCCATATACTTTCTCATGCAGGTCAGCCAAAGACAGAGGCTCTCTTGAAGAGGACTCCTGGGACTCCAGAAATGGAGGAGTCATTAAATGGAAGGAGTTTGAGTCTCTGAATAATTACATGAATGCACATTCATCAGGAACATCCATTTTGGAACCTGTGTGAGCAAAAAACATATTGAGTCATAAAATTTCTGGATTACTTTTTTTAATATAAAGGCTAGTACTATTGTTATTTACTCTAAATAATACATGAGCAATGCTTCAGAGGTCCTCTTTGTAGCTAAGTCTTTCTGCAAATATCAAATTATTTACTTAGAATATATTTTTAGAAGTAGAATTTCTGATCAAAGGGTAAGAACACTTAAAGTTTTTGAAATTGCCTTCCAGAAAGCTTCTGCATTATTTAAAACCCATACCAGCAAGTCAATGAAAATTTCCAAAATAACTCGCTTCATTAGAATTTAACCACATTTTCTAACATGGATAACTTTTGTAAGGAATTTGCGAGGTTCTTGTGTCAGCTATTTTACTAATTATTTATATGTCTTTACATCTAGGTAACATGCCCATCTTTCAATTTGTTTCAAAGATCAAATGTCATGGAATATTAACAGTACATATTTAAAATACTAAAATATATAAGGCGATACAAAAATAAATTAGATACAAATCTAATTTGATGTATGTAAATGTAATAGTTATACATAGTAACAAATTTTATTCTGCCTTGAAAAGATTATCTGCTAAAACCTTGGCCATATGATCTTTAATTAGATTGTTACTTCGCTGGGCTATCATAGTAACATTAGTTACTTAACAATACAGATGTTTCCTTTTTGTAGTTTTTATTGGCTCAAGATGAACACAAGCTTTAGTTCAAACAAAAGTGAGAGAGTGCAACTTAAATGAGGAGATGATAGAATATGCACTAGAAGAGAAAAGGAGATGGATGTGTCGGCTGTTTGTTTTGTTTTCTTTTGAAAACTGCTGCGTCTCCACTCCTGGTTTGACACTTGGAGTCCAGAAAACTTTCCAACTGTGTTGAACAGAACTTCTGTCTCCTCTTGGGAGCAGCAGCAAGCCAGGGTAGACCACAAGAACCAATGAAAATACCTCATCTTTTTTATACTGGTTCACATTTCCCCATTTTTGACAGATGGAACCTTTGGAGAAGAATATTAATGACCACTGGGAGATGACACTAGTCATTTAGGGAAACACTCAATAAATAGGCAAGTGATATTTCACACAGGGACTCCCTAGCTTTGCAAAATGCCTAGACCCCAAAGGAAGCTTTTCCTGGAGATGTGATAATTTCTTTTTTGGGATAACAAAGCTTAATTCTGTAGAACTACCAGACGAAGCAAGACAGTTCACTAATACCACTTTACAGTCTTTTTAAAGATCTCTCTGCTTCTTTGTTTTTTTCTATGAATTCTAGAGTAATATAACTTAGGCATTATCTGGTTTAAAAATACATGATCTGTTTTCACCAATTATAAACCAAATGAGTTAGTATCTCACAAGGATTCTTGAAAGATGCCAACAGTCCAGAGGTCATGCGTGACACCTTCAAGGGGGCCTTCAAAGCCCCTCCAAGTCAATAGCAGCAACCAAAGCCCCAGAAGTCTCCTCTCAGACAGAGGTACAAACAGCCTCATAGCTGGAAGACTCATTTACCACATTGGTGGGCTAAGGAGAAGGGGGGCAAATGCTTGCAAAGAAAACTGACTCTTTATTTCTTGAAATGAGTGAGTCCTATTTTACCCTATTTTTTCCTTGCCAAATCTTATAGCTATCAACCTAATACACGAAAGTACAAGACTAAGATTACTCTGTCTAAAATAAGATAACAGGCCATGTATAGTTGTATATTTTATTCAAAATCATTATACATATATAGCATTATTGCCAAACCACTTTAAAAACGAGTCACAGTTGGCCAGGTGCTGTGGCTCACACCTGTAATTCCTTCGGGAGGCCTAGACGTGGCGGATCACCTGAGTTCAGGAGTTCAAAACCAGCCTGGCCAACATGGTGAAACCACGTCTCTACTGAAAAAAAAAAAAAAAAATTAGCTAGGTGTGGTGGTGCACACCTGTAATCCCAGCCACTTGGGAGGCTGAGGTGGGAGAATCGCTTGAACCCAGGAGGCGGAGGTTGCAGTGACTGGAGATTGTACCCCTGCACTCCATTTTGGGTGACAAAAACGAAACTTGATCTCAAAAAAAAAAAAAAAAATCAAAAATGTTAAGCATGCAGGGTGTGTGCACTTTGCTGTTTTAGATACAGACAACACACATCACACAAGGTTAAAAGAACAATTCAGACTTTCCTCTGGGAAATTTCAGTTATTTTAAAGAATGTAAAGACTAAGTATTTAGTTCAGGAGGAATTCCGTTGAAGCAAATTATGTAAGAACAAATTTTTGTAGCACAATTTCCATCATATTAGAACTCTGTAGATAATTTTAGTGATACCAGTACATTCAGATCTCATATTTTAAAGATAGAGGCATATGTAAAGAAATGTTAACTGAGCTTTAAAATGTTGGAAAAGTTAATTAATGTTATGATTGAAGATTAAGAAAATATGTACTTTGTCAGGATAGAAACTAACAGGGAAATATAAAACGTTATAAATGCCATTCAAACGAAGAATCACTTAAGGTGACCCATCAAGGGATGTTAACAGGGAATGATGATTGGAAAGTATGAAAAGGAATATTAAAGAATAAACACAAGAAAAGTTTCCTGACAGTCAAACCTTTTTCAGTCTCTAGGGAGTCCATGGAAAATCCATCAATTAGATCATACTAAGCAGTACTGTTCAGAATATTAATAAAGCTTTGTACTTCTTCTTCTCAACTTTGCACTCTGGGAAAATATGTGTGTTGCTCTCAGTAGCAGAGTTCTTCAGGTTTTGACTTGTTTTCTTTGTAAACTCCTCCTTCATCAGCAGTCAATAAGAGCCAAGAAGACCTAGTAAAGATGACAGAGAACCAAAATGTAAATGAGTACCCAACTCTAACTCCCGATATAAGCAGTTATATTAATGCACTTAATTTTCTCAGAAAAGAAAATTGATGGTCCACAAATAATTTGTAAATACTTTCCAAAATACCAATAGCACGCTATAATTTTTATGAAAGAAACTCAAAATTCATATAAGGAATTGTTTTCATTCTATAGGATATGAGTTAGTTTCAAACTTTCATGATTAACAGAGGAATTCTCATCTCCCATTCAGATCTTAGGGACTCTTAGATATTTACAATTGAAGTGAGATTTCTTTCATGATTAAGAAAGTTAACCTTAAATGTGTTTGAGAGCTAAATGAAGTAAACTAATTGTTCTTTATTAGCATTATTTGATGTCATCTTGTTTCAGTACAAATAAGGTGCCAGGTCACACTATAATGAATAATAATATTAATATTGTTTATCATTAATGGCTTGATACCTAAATGTCTCTGCTTGTTCTATAGCAACAATGGTCTCTGTCACAAATTTCATGATTTTTATTAAGACTTCAAAAGACTATGGCAAAGATTTTCTTACCCCTAGTAAGACTTTGTGTAGATGTTACAGAAAGCAGATGTCCTCAATGAGTGCCATTTTTATTCAAATAGATTTGAGGCTCTACTAGATAGGCCTTGCATGGAATATCTTCATGAACAGCTACATATCCAATGTGGTTCGGCATTCATGTGTATTCCATTCTTTTTTTCTCTCTGTACTTTCTTTTCTTAAAAATAAATGTTATTATGTATATTTAAGGTATACAACATGATGTTGTGAATTAAATATAGATAGTAAACAGGTTACTATCGTGAAGGAAATTAACACACCCATCATGTACACGTTTCTTTTCCAGGACTTGTTACTTTCATGGCTAATATAATATATAATCTAAGGGCTAGAAGAGAAAGTAAGCACATCAGAATAATCTTTCCACACTTTCTTCTCCCTTTTCTGTAACCATTACTTGTTTTTCCACCCAAAATTATTACTCTGTAGACATTTTCTTGAATTTTTTTATGCCCCCCTCCTCATGGCATTTAAGTCACTCTGTATTTATTTCTACACCAAGCCTTTTTCTTTACTACTGCTGTTTGTAGCAAGCTTGGAGTCTGCTTTTTACCGCTGACCATAAAGTGAGAGTTTCCTTCCTTTTGATTGTGTTGCTGGAGTCCCTTCCACCTTCCCTGCCTGTCTTATCTCTACTGAAGGTGGAGAAGGCATAGAGACTACCACCTCTACCACCCCCAAACACACGTGTGCATGCACACAGACACACACACACATACACACACACACAGAGCATGCTTCCTTAGGCAGAGAGAAACACTGAGCTCTTTGTCTTTCTGCTTGACCTACAGAAAAGGGAGGGGAAGAAGCGAGATACAGAGGACGGAACAGGCCAAGTTCTATGACCCTGTCTGTCTCTGCTCAGGGCAGAGAACTTAGATTTCTGAAACCAAACTTTACCCCTCCTCCTCCCATCACACAGGATAGCAGAGTCACCTTGGCAAGCACATGTGTCCATTTGCCAAGATGCCCTGGGAAGAGACTGTATTTGCTCATGAAAAGCAGGATAAGATGCCCGAAGCAAAACAAGTCTTATCTCACTTGGAATCAGAGTGCTACTAGGCACGATGTGGAAGCGCAGAATAGAATTGTCTTCTCTGGAAGGTATATTAGGATGTTTTCATCCATAAGAGTAAAACTCATTAACAAAGGTTTAAGAAAATGGAGAATTCTTTTTATTACATAGTAAAAATCTGAAGCGGCTCGTAACATTGGTTCAGTAGCTCAGTGATGTGATGACTGTTGTTTAATTCATTTGTCCTTCTTCTCGAGGTCACAAGGCAGCTGACACAGCTGTAGAGCCCATGTCCTCCTTAGAGCAGATAGAAGAGGATGAGGAAAGCTCCCAGCAGATGTCTGCTTACTTGTCATTAGCCACACAGCCTTTTTCAGTTCTAAAGGAGGCTCAGGAACGCAAGCACTTTACATTTTCAACCTCTATAACTGAGGTTGAAAAGGAAGAAAAGGTTGAGGTTAAGTACTGGGTAAGCCAATAAACACTGTCTGCCACAAAAGCAATCCCATACCCAGATTTATCCGTTTCCTTTCCTTTTGCTTAGAATTACCTATGAAGGACAGCACACCTGTTGAATAGCCCACATTTGACTAGGCTTACAAATTTTAGTATCACTGTTTACTTTCAAGTTAGGGAGATCTTTCTTGCTTTATAGGAATGCAAACAATTCAACAAACAAAAAACCACATTAAAAAATGGGCAAATGACATGAACAGTCACTTCTCAAAAGAAGACATACATGCAGCCAACAAATATATGAGAAGAAGATGCTTATCATCACTAATCATTAGAGAAATGCAAATCCAAACCACAATGAGAGACCATCTCATGACAGTCACAATGGGTATTACTAAAAAGTCAAAAAACAACAGATGCTGGTGAGGTTGCAGAGAAAAGGAAACACACACTGCTGATAAGAGTGTAAATTAGTTCAACCACTGGGAAAAGCAGTGTGAAGGGTTCTTAAAAAACTTAACAAGAATGAGCAATTCCACTACTGGGAGATATTGAGAGCCAGCAATTCCTCTACTGGGAGATACTGAGAGCCAGCAATTCCACTACTGGGTATATACACAAAGGAAAATAAATTATTCTACCAAAAAGACGCATGCTCGTATGTTCATTGCAGCACTATTCACAATAGCAAAGGCAAGGAATCAACAAAGATGCCCATCCATGAATGGTGGACTGGATAAAGAAAATGTGGTACATATACACGATGGAATACTAGACAGCCACAAAAAGAAAGAAATCATGTCCTTTGCGGCAACATGGATGGAGCCAGAGGCCATTTTATCCTAAGTGAATGAACACAAGAACAGAAAACCAAATGCCACATGTTCTCACTGAAAAGTGAGAGCTAAACATTAAAGACACATGGACACAAAGATGAGAACAATAGACACTTGGGACTGCTTGAGAAAGGAGGATGGGAGGGGGCTGGAGGTTGGTAACGCTACCTCTCAGGTACTATGCTCACTACTTGAGTGACAGGATCATTCGTATACCAAGCCTCAGCAACATGCAATTTACCCATGTAACAAACCTGCACGTGTATCTCCAGAAGCTAAAACAAAAGTAGAAGAAACAAAAAGAATTTGAGCATGCTGTGTTTTGGGGCCTGCAGTTTTATCTTTAGATGGCTTGTTGTCTTTAGATGGCGCAACCATCCTGCTGTGTATAACTCAGCTATCCTAGAGGTTACATACGTGTATTTAGAATTTAAATGCTAAATTGTAGATAGGGAAACTGAATGAAAAAATAAGCCATCATGTTCATTCTTCCATTATATTTTGTTAAATATACACAATATGACTGTCCTAATCATATCCCAGACTCAATTTTTCCTTTCTTTTGCATTTTCAGATGGCGCCTACAAGCCTGAACAGTTAAACCCTCTATTTGTCCTTGAGTTTTCCTCTTGCCTAAATTCTTCCTCTAGTTCCGACTCTACCCACCCAGTCTTTGATTTTTCTCACAGAACTCTTTGCTTCTCTAGTTATTCATTTCTCCCTCTCTTTGAGAGAAAGCACTTCCTCCTCTGGATACTGTGTAATCTTTCTCAGGACCACACAATGTGCCTTTATGTGTGATGATAGTGGACAGATGTGATTTTTCCAATGGGTTTTATTTTGCTTGCTTATTTATGTATTGCTCAGACTTCAGTCTGAAACAAAATAAGTTAGAACGTTCATTGCTTCTCATTTACACTGAGGTGAGTTTTCATTCATTTGAAGTGATTTGCTAATTATACAAAGTTCTTAAAACCCCTTTATCGAAAACCATGGAATATACCAGGGAAGGTTAAAAATTCCAAATTTGTCTTTTAAAAATGTTTCTAAAAGCAAGGATGCAGTACTATGTAACAATAGGTTGTTTTTTCAAAGAACAATTTTCATAATATTTATGCAAAAGGAACACAAGTAAACGTTCCACAGTCCATGCGTCAAAATTTCCAGTTATGTCTCTTTATCTTGAAATGGCTCATTTTATGTAACAGAGACTGTTAGATCCAGAATAGAGTTTAAGACCTATCTATAATTAAATCTCATTTTTGCAGAAGACGATAGAGAAGCCACAGAAGCTGAATAACCCATCCAAGAGTTCACAATTTGTGAGTGGCAAACCAGTCTCCTGATTTCCTATTCAGGGCTGTTTTTACCATCGCCTCCATCTGAAGGGCTCACCCCTATAATAACCAGCTACAGATACCATACCCAGATCTGGTGGTTCATGTGGTAAGAGGCAGAAGTTGGGGCTTTACAGGGCTGTATCAGGAACTAAGTATTGGGCGGTGGGCTAAGAACACAAAGAGGGAGTAGAAATGAGACCAGAAGTGTGGACCTGCTAAACTTGGAACAGTGGGACACTAGCACATATATTCTCCATATTCTCTGAGCCAGATCGGGATGAGGGTGGCAGGGCAAAAGTTGCAGGTTTAAAAGAAGGTAGAGGCCGGGCGCGGTGGGTCACGCCTGTAATCCCAGCACTTTGGGAGGCCGAAGTGGGTGGATCACGAAGTCAGGAGATCGAGACCATCCTAGCAAACACGGTGAAACCCAGTCTCTACTAAAAAATACAAAAAATTAGCCGGGTGTGGCGGCGGGCGCCTGTAGTTCCAGCTACTCAGGAGGCTGAGGCAGGAGAATGGCGCGAACCCGGGAGGCGGAGCTTGCAGTGAGCCGAAATCGCGCCACTGCGCTCCAGCTTGGGCGACAGACTCCGTCTCAAAAAAATAAAGGTAGAAATGACCACTTCCAAAGACAGATCTCCCACGGTATCGAAAAAGTAGACAGATATTGCATATTGCCTGGGGGAGGCAGGTTAGTTGTAGTTAGCACATTGTTTTACTCATAATTAACACGTTGATCAATTGA